CACCACAAAGTTGAAGGGGATTTGATAGGGTGAAAAATTCAGGTTTTTTCTGTGGGAAACACCTCAAAGTTAAGGGGGGTTTCTGTGAGATTCACCCTGATGTATTTACACCACATAATGTGCTGAAATTGTTTGAGAATGCTGCATCTAATAAAATTCAAAATGCAGAGGCAATACTCTTTTTAGCAATGAAATGAGCTGTGGTTTTTACGTACTTCAAGAACCCACTCGATGTACGTGACGTGGTTTACATGTTGGTTCATGTCCAAATCAGTTCTCCTTGGCTGCAGATGTCAAAAATGTGCAACACAAAGTTTAACTTTATAATCTACTAGTTATGAGGAAACAACTGCATTAGCTGCTTGTTATAGAGCATAGGATTAATTGCGGATAGACCCATTGTACTTCTATTGCTATAGATAAACCCCCTGGATTCTCAACTTTGTTACGCCTCGTTTTGTACATGGGCATGAGTGGGAATGGAATGTCAATTCCAACTTCTCGTCATGTGTACCAAATACAATGTGTTTTGTGGAAGTTAAAAGTCTCATTCCCACTTCTCAATTGGTAAGGAATGTGCATTCCCGCTTCATCCTCTAATTGCATCCAAACGTGAGAATGGAAATGAGCAGTCCATCCCCATATTTATTCTATTCCATTTCTTCATTTCATTCTCACTTGACTTGATTATGCAAGTTTATAGTAAGTAAATCCAGTTTATGAAGCTCATATGTTTCACTTTATAAAGCCCAATCCTAACGCGAAGCTAGCAGACATGAAAATCCAGGGGTTATATCCGCATCATGTTGATGGTACTGGGGTTTATCCACAATTGACCCCCATGAAATAAGATCATATAAAAGATGAAATGACCCTTGAATTAAAGACTTACCGCAAGCCCGAACCGTGAATGTTGAGCAGGATCTTGAAGTTTCGGGATTTTCTTCAAACTGTTGTCGTCCTCTTCTGTGAAGGCAAATCTGGATTACATGGTAATTTCTTAAGCTCAATCAGTGTACACTGGTGTTAAATTAACATTAACTTAAAATTGTGAACCCTCACACATCAAAAAGAAAGCTGAGAACTGAGAACAGCAAAGGTACATAATAAAAAATATGAAAAGGGTAATACTACTTTGACAACAGTTATAAATACTTTTCCCATATGCAGGTGGAAATCCTTTACAAAGAATAAAGCAATAAGTGATGACCTGATCCAAAAACTCAATACTTTGCAGTACTTTCTTGAAAAGGAAACTTTTTTCTTTGCTTGTGAATCGACTTTCCAGAGAATGTATCTAATTTTCCCTCTGGCTTTCAATCATATGCCTTCAAATAAAAGGATTAATTGCAGATACACCTATATATTATGAGGGTGTAGCCACTTAATGCCAGACGATGTTATTTTTCCTGTTTGGTTAAGATGTCACATGAAAATCACGAGAAATTAGTTCTTGCCCTCAAATTTGCTCCAAAAAGTTGCTTAATTCTCCAATTTGAGGGAAAACATACGTGGTCTGAGATTCAGAAAGTGCAAGTGCTCGTAAAATAGGTTTTTTGGGGCGGCGGTGGTGGTATTTCTATTTTCTTTTATTTATAATTTATTATTTTATATAATTTTTTTAGATATTTTTATTTATTTTTTAATTAGACTTAAGTAGCAATGCCATCATAGTATAGGGGCGTATGTGTAATTAACCCTTAATAAAATGGATGATGTGTTCCAAAGGTATCATACCTAGGAGTTCTTGGACAAAAGACTAGATATTCTTCCCTCACTTCATCAGTTACTCGCTGAAGCTTCCTAGTGTCTTGGTTCATCATCACAAATTTGCTGTAAGAAAATTTAACAGTAGAAGTAAGAAGCCAAAACTCTGAAAGTAACAACATACCTACAGAAAATGAGCTGAGCAGTAAGGTTTGCAAGAAACCCTGATACTATAATTGTATGTATACATCCCTCTGTACACACTCAAGCACACACACATGCATATATACATATATACATACAGAGTAATGGTACTGTGAGATGGTGAGCTCAACTCTTATCATGAGATAGACTAATCGCCTCATCAAATTTATGATTGGCACTATATATCTTGTTCAAAACATAATCAAATGCATATGGTGAAATTTTCGCATAGTTTGGAGTCTTCTAGAATATGAATCAAACTAGTTTAATATCTTGATTTTTCAGATAGCTTGATAGCCGTCCCTTTTACACATAGCTAAAATAATGATTAAAATTTTCTAAATGATAAAAAAATTTCTAAATGTATATCATGTGGTATGCAAACAGAATGGATGGTGCTGATCTCGAATCGGGAAGCCTATCGGAGTAACTCATTATAAGAATCTCATTTCAACATCTCATTTTATAATTTTTCTGTATAAACACACATAAGTTAATTGTTCATTTCCATCAATAGCTAAAACCTCCACAGTAGATAGTGCATTGGAATCATTCTCCACTCAGTACAACTTAAACATTCTCACTTTTAGCTAATGGGGTACAGATTCAAGCCTCTAGCCTACTTTTCTTTTTCTTTGAGAAAGAAATCCTAGTTTTTTGTAGGAAAACTCTCACTAATTGTTAGTACAAAGTGGAAAAAAGTGGGCAATAGTGCAACTTCAATATGAAAGGCAACTTTTTGAAGATTAAGAACTTTCTTATAGGTCTGACATTACACATGATTTTGTATTATGTGTTGCCAATTTCCTGAAACTCAAAGGAAAGGATACTAAACACATATACACATGTACTTATACATACACAGGACATACAGATGCAACACTAATACATGAGTATACAGATATGGAAAAAATTTAGTATACCAGCAAGTATAAATGCAAATAATAAACTCATACACATATGTGTCTGTTAATGTCAATATCTCAAATATATAAGATATTTTCTACCTATCTAAAGTGAATAACAATCTAGATATATTATACAAGTACAATGCATCCCCCAGATCAAATGAAAATGTAAAACCACCATCCATATATTCGATTTTAATATTTAGTCTCTGATATACCTATAACTTGACAGAAGATTATCCAACACGTGATCATTAAGTATTAGAGTGTCCAAGTATGTACGCATATCATACAGCTATGCCTCCTCAAAGTATTACCGCACAATAAATCCATCCGATTGTTGTCCCCCCATCCAATCCAAAGGGAGAGTTTGTCTATATGCAAGTAAGCCTCACATCACATATCAAGCATATTGATATGAAATCAGTATTATATATATATATATATATATATATATATATATATATATATGCAGAATATGGGTAATGTTGTACCAAGCACAGAAAAAGTTGTGCTGGTAGTGACGGTGTCACATCTCTCGCCTCCACTCATTCAAATGTGGGCCTACATTACATGGGTTAATGAGTGGATGAGGATGGTGACACATCTACTACCAAGCACAATTCCTGTGTTGTACCAAGCATTTACCCATATTTCTTTCTTGTCTCTTTCTCTCTTCTCCTCTCTCTCTATATACTATTATATATATATATATATATATATATATATATATATGATATTATATATATATATATATATATATGAGAAAAATGGGTATGCTTGGTACCAAGCACAAATTTTGTGCTTGTACAAGCCACAAAATTTTGTGCTTGGTAGTGATGTGTCACATCCTCCATCACTACACCATGTGAATGTGGTCTCATATTTTAATGAGTGGAGGAGGATGTGACACATCACTACCAAGCATAACTTTTTGTGCTTGTACCAAGCATACCATATTGCTCTATATATATATTATATATATATATATAAATATATATATAGATATATATATATATATATATATATATATATATATATATATATATATATATTATATATTGTGCTTGGTAGTGATGTGTCACATCCTCATCCACTCACTACCCCATCTGTGAATGTGGTCCCATATTTTAATGAGTGGGGAGGATGTGACACATCACTACCAAGCTTATACCATATTGCCTATACTTAATATATATATATTATATATATATATATATATATATATATATATAATATATATATATATATAATATATATATATATATATATCAAAGCTGCAGAGAATGCAACAAAAAAAAGTATTCTACTACGACTTATGGCCCATTTTGAGGTGAGAGTAACATGCCACCCTGTAGGTCACCTAACTCACCTCATAAAGATAGATTTCTGATTTAACGGGTTAATTACAGATAGACCCCCTATACTATGGCCCAATTGCAAATAGACCCTAAGCGAAATTATTTTGACTCGTTTACCCTCGGAGAAAGAGAAAATTGTTTTAATTGACAAATTTACCTCCTGAGGATAAAAGAGTAAAAGAAATTCACTCATGGGTCTATCTGTAAAAACAGAACTAGAGGGGGTCTATACGCAATTGGGCAAATAGTACGGGGGGTCTATCCGCAATTAACCCTTGATAAATAGACTATTTTTAGAACAGCATTACCTAGTAGCTCTGCCGATCACAGAACCAGTAGCCAAATCTTTAAGAATCCAGTCACGCCTGATGCCAATCTTTCCTTCTCCTTGACACCATGTTTCAATCTCAACAACATCACCCCTAACAGTCCATTACTTACTCAGTAAATGTCAATGCACCATATGGAATACATATCATGGTAATATCCTGAACTCACCAAGCTGGATATTTATACATCTCAATATGCATCCGAGAGGTAACCCAAATAAGACCAAGTTTTCTCATGGTCGTGGTGGTGGCAAACCCATCTGTGGAAAATCCTATACTTTGGAAATGGTTGCACCCAACTTCCTACATTGAGAGACCAATATATAGTTTAAATCCAGGACAGGCAACCTTTTTCATATTTACTTTTTGGACAGTCTTTAAAAGTGCGTCAAAAATCATAGTAACAAAATTTTGATGACATTACAGACCTGAGAAATTTAAAATGAATGCCTTTATAAATTAATTTGAAACTTATGAGTTAATGTATAAGCAGGCCTAGATGGTTAAAAGAAAAAAAGCAAGCTAACTCAAACTCATCCATTTTAATTTTTATCGATTCTTTAAGGACTTATCTAAACACATTTCAACACATGCATGGCAAAAGCATAAACTCTTCATTTAGTACATTTGAGTCTTTGACTAACCAACCACATATGCCAACAACAGGCAGTGTTAGCTAAGGCACGCGCCTCAGGCTTCGGGTTTGTGGGCCGTTGATGAAGCACCCCGCAACATAGATGGGACGCTTTGCAAACTCGAGGCACACGCATCAGTGTGCCTCACGCCCAGATAGGGGTGCAAATGAGGCAAAGCCTCACTTAGACTCAATTTCAACCAGGTGTGAACCTGATAACCCATTTTAACCCCCTCTCCCTTCGCTTCCCAATAGATTGAGAACCCGTTCCCAATAGTTTTCAAATAGTTTGGTACATGAATCCATTTGCTGTAGTGCATTATGCCAACGAGTAAGAGAGTGCATTTTTAATATATCCATTTGCATCGTCTTTGAAAAGCTCCTCATAATAGGACTCTACTTTTATTTTTAAATTTCTGCCACATGAAAGAATTTGTGAATTATTAACTAGATAGTTTAAATGTCATGGTTTCATCCCTGTCTTATGTATTTTTCCATAGCTTTCTAGTACCCCAATCTAACATGAATTGCGTCGATTACGCTTAACAGATCGATAAGCATAACAATGCCCAAATCGAGGTTACCAAATTGGAATTGGTAGAAGTACAGGGATAAAGATAGTAACTTTAAAAATAAAACCAAATAAAAAAAAATCTTTTTTTTTGAAGTACCTGAAGGAGATTGGCGATGGTCTCAACAGTCGCAGTCTTGTTAACCCCAACCTCGTAGCATCTCACAACAAACCTCTCTTTGTACGACAACCCGTCCTCCTCCAATCTCCGGTTCTCAATTCTCGCCCCCCGAACCGCTTATCCTCCTCCGCCGGCCGCCGGGCGACGCGGCGAAGGGGAGCGTCACAGCGGAGCACCGCACGCGACGGCGGAGAACCGCACCGCGGTGGCGTTGCAGCGGCGGCCACGGCGGCGTTGGCTGAGGATCCGGTGGGACCGCCGGCCGTCGCGCCGGAGAACTGAGGAGCTCGGCATTTTGCTTTGAGATTCAGATTCAGGAATCTCGAGAAGCGCGGAGAGAGAAAACGTGGTGTTTGATTTGCGGGTTAATTGAAGATTACATTTACTTACTGCGAGTGGTTAGTCACTAATTTTATTTTTGTTTTTTGGAGAAATGGCCGTAGCCTTCATTTATCTTATTCATTCTAAACACACACACGTGGGCGTGATATAAATACAGCATTATAGAGTACATTTTCTATTTTTGCATGTTACTCTAAGGAGGCGCCAAGAACCCAAATTGACGCAAATCTTTCGTCAAAACTTTCTCTAACTAAGCGGCAAAGAAAGCGCTGCTATAGTGTTGCGTCAGGAATAGCGCAACACTATAGATATGGAGTTTTTCCCCCTTAATTTATCCTTAAAGTTTGTTATAACAAATCAAATATTCCAACCATATCTCATTTTATCCATCATATTTCCCATTTTATTCTATTTAGTTTTTTTTTGCTTTTATTTTTTATATTTGTATTAATAATTATATTATTTTATATTAACTATTATAATGAAATTAGAGTATAAAATAATTATTAAAAAATTCAAAAATGAAAAAAAAATAGATAATTTAATCCAAACACTTAAAATTTCATAATACTAGAACCAAATGAAGAAATAAAAAAAACTTACATTTAGATAAGAAAAACTTACGCTTAAAATTTCATAATTATATAATTTGTTAAATATTTTAAATAGATAAAAATGTTAAAAGATAAGAATAATAAAAGAAATATTCTTTTTGGTATAAAATTTGGTGTGAATGGGTTGGAGATGGAATAGTGATTTGGTGTAAAAACTACACCAACTTGACGTAAAAACTACATCATTTTGGGTTTTTTGGTTGGAGATGCTCTAACATGTTGAACTTGCAATGTGGGTAGGTGGCGGGATGAAGGATGTAGTTGATAACAATTTATACGTCGCTAAAGACATGAGAATTGAAAATTTTGAAGGTAGCTGCAAGTTTGAAGTCCCTGAGGATTCCCAGAGCTTCGACAATAAGTGGAGATGAAGAATCAACTTTTCCGGATAAAATATGAGTCATCTTGCCTTCTTACATATCGACAATAAGTGGAGATGAAGAATCAACTTTTCCGGATAAAATATGAGTCATCTTGCCTTCTTACATACGCCTGTTTAGTCCCCAAAATGATTGTGGCTGTCGTGAAGCTCCGTCTAATTAAATGTGAGGTGTGCTGATGGGTGTGCTTTCCAATTTGATTTATTTCACTTCTTTAGGAATAAAAAGGAATATATCATGCACATATTTTTCTGAATTAAATGTAGTTTCTCCTGCAAATATTTTTTTATCATGACTTTAGTTGATAGAGTGATTCAGTGGAGTACGAATCCTATCAGAATGCCTTGCGCATTGCAGAACATTCTGAACATTGCAATTGGGAAGTAAGGAGTATTTTGATAAACTGTAGGAGTGATGTATGGTCTAAGTTACCCCCCGTCATGAGACATTCTATAGGAATCCTACTTAACTGGGGTGATATATTTCCATTCTTTTTCACCTCTTCTTTTATTATTAATTTGAATTTACTTTTACTCATCAGCTGAGCCCTGTTTGGCAACGAGATAACGTAAAGATTAAAGGGGTTTAACCTCTTATTAACCTCCAAACTACTAAAAAATGTCAAAGGGTTAATAAACCCGTACGGAAGGATTAAGCCCTATTTAAGGATAGTTTACAATTCCTCCTTCTTAGAGAATGTTTGGCTACTTGCTTATTTCTACTCTCTTATTCCCTTTACTTAGTTAAATATTTTCTTAAAAATTAATTAATATTATTGATTAATTAATTAATTAATTTATTAACTATTAATTAATTAATTAATAATTAGTAATTGTTTAATGATTATTTATTAATATTTATTAATATTTATTTATTAATATTAATTAATTTATTACTTGTTAATTATTGATAATTAATTAATTACTTAATTATTGATAATTAATGTTTTATTAATATGAAATTAAATAAGCTCAATATTACTAATTAATAATCACAAGTAATGCAATTTATAAAAATATTTTAATGAAGTATATTTCTTACTATGGGATAACCAATTTTTATATTATAATCAAGTATTTTTATTAATAGTAATATTTTACTAATACAAAATTACTTAAGTAATCAAAATATTAGTAGTTAATAATCACAACTAATGTAATATATAAAATATTTTAATCAAATATATTTATTATTATTATTAAATGTTTATTTTATTAATAATAATATTTTACTAATTAAAATTTCATAATACTAGAACCAAATGAAGCAATAAGAAAAACTTACATTTAGATAAGAAAAACTTACACTTAAAATTTCATAATTATATAATTTGTTAAATATTTTAAATAGATAAAAATGTTAAAAGATAAGAATAATAAAAGGAATATTCTTTTTGGTGTAAAATTTGGTGTGAATGTGTTGGAGATGGAATAGTGATTTGGTGTAAAAACTACACCAACTTGATGTAAAAACTACATCATTTTGGGTTTTTGGGTTGGAGATACTCTAACATGTTGAACTTGTAATGTGGGGAGGTGGCGGGCTGAAGGATGTAGTTGATGACAATTTATGCGTCGCTAAAGACATGAGAATTGAAAATTTTGAAGGTAGCTGTAAGTTTGAAGTCCCTAAGGATTCCCTGAGCTTCGACAACAAGTGGAGATGAAGAATCAACTTTTCCGGATAAAATATGCGTCATCTTGCCTTCTTACATACGCCCGTTTAGTCCCCAAAATGAATGTGGCTGTCGTGAAGCTCCGTCTAATTAAATGTGAGGTGTGCTGATGGGTGTGCTTTCCAATTTGATTTATTTCACTTCTTTAGGAATAAAAAGGAATATATCATTCACATATTTTCTGAATTAAATGTAGTTTCTAATGCAAATATTTTTTTTATCATGACTTTAGTTGATAGAGTGATTCAGTGGAGTACGAATCCTATCAGAATGCCCTGCGCATGGCAGAACATTCTGAACATTGCAATTGGGAAGTAAGGAGCATTTTGATAAACTGCAGGAGTGATGTATGGTCTAAGTTACCCCTCGTCATGAGACATTCTATAGGAATCCTACTTAACCGGGGTGATATATTTCCATTCTTTTTTCCCCCCTTCTTTTATTATTAATTTGAATTTACTTTTACTCATCAGCTGGGCCCCGTTTGGCAACGAGATAACGTAAACATTAAAGGGGTTTAACCCCTTGTTAACCTCCAAACTACTAAAAAATGTCAAAGCGTTAATAAACCCATACGGAAGGATTAAGCCCTATTTAAGGATAGGTTTACAATTCCTCCTTCTTAGAGAATGTTTGGCTACTTTCTTATTTCTACTCTCTTATTCCTTTACTTAGTTAAATATTTTCTTAAAAATTAATTAATATTATTGATTATTTAATTAATTAATTTATTAACTATTAATTAGTTAATTAATAATTAGTATTTTTTTAATAATTATTTATTAATACTTATTTATTAATGCTTATTTATTAATATTATTTAATTTATTACTTGTTAATTATGTTCGAACTCTGAGAAGAGAAGAGAAAGAAGAACTGGTATTTCTGAGGGGCTCCGGTAATGGGTAAGTGGGGTTTCTCTTGTTTTCGTTGTATTTTCTCAAGGAGAATTATCCTCCTTATATAGGGGCTAAACCCATCATCTCTACCCCTCAAATCTGCCCCCATGAGAGATTTTCTCTCAACCACCCACGATTCACGTTCTCCACCATTCTCTCAACAGAGAAACCGTGGTTGATTTGGTCATCAATGACCGAGTCAAGCTAACATCCCCTACTTGACCAAATTAACCAAGTGACATGCCTCCCACTATCCATGAGATCGGATGTTTCTGCTTACCATTACTCCCATTATCCGTTGAGAGTAACTCTTATTTCATTATTCATGAAATTTTACTTGGACTTAGTTATTCTTAAGTCCCATCAAACTTACATGTTTGATAAAAGATTCTGCTGATATTCCTTTTGTCAAAGGATCAATAATCATATCTGTAGTAGGGATATAAGTCACTTTGACTTCTCATTTTTCTATAATATCTCGAATATAGTGATACTGGATTTTAATATGTTTTCCTTTGGAGCTATTCGCGTCACTATTGATTAAGCTAATTGCTGCTTGATTATCACAATAAATATCAATAGGTCCTTCTAACAAATTAAGATCAAGATCAATAAAAAACCGTCTTATCCAGACAGCATGTGTAGTTGCCATACTACAAGCTATATATTCAGCTTCTTGCGTATATCTAGCAACACACTCTTGTTTCTTGCTACTCCAGGAAACAGCTCCTCCTCCAAAGATAAATAAGTGTCCCGAAGTGGAATTTCCATCATCTTTATCACCTCCGAAATCAGCATCAGAATAACCGAGGAGCTTAAGCGAATCAGCTTGATAAACGAATCTATGAGTCAATGTACCTCTGATATACTTCATAATCCTTTTAACATCTTCCCAATGTGCGGTCCCGGATTACTTTGATGTCGACTGACTAGACTCACAGCATAAGCTATATCAGGTCTGGTGCACAATATTGTATACATTAAGTTTCCAATTGCTTGAGCATAAGGAACATCTAATGATTTCTGCCCCTCTCCAGGGCTTTGCTCTTTACATAATCTCTTTCCCATAACCAACGGAGTTGGTGCCGGATTGGAATTTTCCATTCCAAACCTTTTAACAACTGATCTTAAATATTTTTCTTAGTTTAAACTTAGCATTCTAGACTTTCTATCTCGAATTATTTGAATTCCAAGAATATATGATGCATCTCCCATGTCTTTCATCTCAAACTTTTCGCTGAGATCTACCTTGATTTTATTCAACATTTCTATGTCATTTTATTCTATATTTCTATGTCATTTCTAGCGAGCAATATATCATCCACATATAAGGATAATATAGTAAACTTGCTCCCACTTTTCAAGACATATACACAATTATCTAATTTATTTTGAATAAAACCAAGTTTAGTAATTGCATCATAAAAATTGAGATACCATTGTCTAGAAGACTGTTTTAAACCATATAGAGATTTCATTAA